ATAACCCCATTAATGTTACTAAGCTCTTCCTTTATCAGCTCGTATTTCTTCATTTCAGGTGTCCAAACAGCCGTCTCGATGCATTTCCGAAGTTCTTGCAGGTCTATGTCCTCCCCTGTCGCTTCCTCTATTTCTTTCATCGAGCACCTCCTCGGTACTGAAGCCTCGATAATTCGTCGTATCTGTTCTTCGAATTCGCGTTCTTGGGTCACTTGTCGCGTGTCCAGTAGTCGGGACAGTGGGTCGGCGATGTTCGATTTCCCACTTTTGTACACCACTCGAAATTTATATGGCTGAAGTCTCAAAACCCATCTTTCAATTCTCGCACATGGCTTCGATCTCGGGCTAAATATTGTTTCGAGCGGTTTGTGATCCGTATATAGTTCAAAATCCTTTCCATACAAGTACCAATAAAATTTTTCGCATGCCCAAACTAGAGCTAACGCTTCCTTTTCAGTTTGCGAATACCTCCTTTCTACGTCACTCAAGGTCCTGCTTGCGTAACGAATTGCGCGTGGCCCTCCTTCCTGTATTTGGATAAGCACGGCTCCAAGCCCCACAGGACTGGCATCTGCGATTATTTTGGTGTCAGCATCTTTGTTGTAGAACCCTAAGATTCCTGGTTGTACTATGCATTCCTTTAAATCTTGAAAAGATTCTTCCTGCTGCTGACCCCATTTGAACACGGCATTTTTCCTAGTAAGTTTGCGCAGCGGCTCGCTTCTTGTTGCTAGATCTGGAATAAACCGCCCCGAGAAATTTATGAGTCCCAAGAAACTCCTTACTTCCTCGGCTGACTTTGGCCGGCGAAACTGCTGAATTGTGTTTTTACTGTTTTCTGACGGTTTAATACCTTTCTCCGGAATGTGATGTCCCAAGAATACCACGTCTGACCTCCGAAATTTACATTTTTCTTTATTCAATGTGAGTCCCTTTTCACGTAGTCTCTGTAGTACCTTCCTGAGTCTCGCGTCGTGTTCCTCCTTATTCTTACCGTATACCAAAACGTCGTCCAGAAAAACTAACACGCCTTCTAATCCCTGTAAAGTTTGTGTCATAATCCGGTAGTATACTTCTGGCGCACAGCTTATTCCATACATTAGGCTCTTATAACGAAATGATCCTACCTCGGTGGCGAACGTTGTAATTTCACGTGACTCTTCCTCAAGCTCCACTTGATGGTATCCCCATTTCAAGTCCAGTTTAGAAAATACGGTAGCTCCGTTTACTTCTTGCAGGAGCTCTTCCGTTGCCGGAATTGGAGTACGTTCTCTAAGGACCGCTCGGTTTGCTTTCCTCATATCTATGCACAGCCTCCATCATCCGCTTTCCCCCTTTGGTACTATGCGAACTGGTGAAACCCATGGCGTAGGGCTTTCCACCCTTTCAATGATGTCTGCATCCAGTAATTCTGCAATCAATTTCCGTTGCACCTCCTTCAAGTTGTATGACTGCCTACGAACTGGTTGCGCAACCGGAGTAACAGACTTATCAATTGGTATCTTGAATTGAAAATTCTTAAGCTTACCAATTCCTTTAAACATGTTACCGAATTCTCCAATAACATCCTGTTGTTCAACAGTTCTGACGGCCCCTGGTCCTATGCTGAGTACTCCTAAATCCATCGCAGTTTTCTTCCCTAGCACTGCTCCACCTTTTCCATCCAAGACGATTATCTCCGCTTCCACTGCTAATCTCTTATCGGCTTGTTGTACCTCCGTCCTAAATGCTCCCACTATCTTCAGCGGTTGACGGCTTCCATACGGATACAGCCTTTTTTCCGAATGATACAATCTGCACCGAATTTTACTGTCTCTCAGTCGCTTCCAGCACTTTTTGTCGATAATATTGCAAGTTGCTCCCGAATCAATAATCATATTCGTTTTTACTCCTCCTAGCAACACGTCAATTTTTTCGTCTTCTCCAATACCAAAAATCTTGTCCCTTTCCCAAATGCTGAATGCGTAGTGGTCGTCCGATGTATCTTCCTCGCTGCTCGTACTACTCTCTTCCACTTGTCAAACTTTTTTTCGATCAGTTTTCCGCTCTTTCTTAACCACCTTTTCCATCTTCGTTTTACACACAATTTTGAAATGTCCTTCCTTCCCGCATCTTTCGCAAGTACTCGTACGGGCTGGGCAGCTTTTATCTTTAGCAAAATGTCTGGTATAGTTACATCGAAAACATCTAGCGTCTGTTCCACTTGCCCTGTTTTTATTTTCGCGTCTTCCGTAATTCTTGCTGCGTCCTTTTATTTGGTTCACCTGCTCTGTTTTATTTTCTTCCAACGTCATGGCTTGAGCTTGTCTGTGTGACATTTCCCATAACCTCGCGATTTCTACTGCTTTCTGGAATGTCAGCGCGGTTCCTTCCTTCAGTAACTGGCGGCGTAAATCGTTTGAGTTGCACTTTTCTGTAATCTGGTCCCGAATCATTTCGTTCTTTCTATCTCCGAATTCACAATTTTCTGCTTGCTGTTGCAACCGTATCACATAACGATCAATCGTTTCATCCGCTTGTTGTGCTAAGCAACGGAAATTATGCCGCTCATATGGTACATTAATTTGCGGTGAAAAATGTACTTGTAGCGCTGTTTTTGTTGCGTCATAGATGTCTCTACCTTGCGGCACTACCGCATCCAGCGCGTAATACACATCTTGCATTTCGGGACCCGCTAGATGCAACAAAAACGCCTGCTTACGTTCACTCGTGAGAGCTGCTTGCGTTTGTATGAATAATTTAAACGCCCGCATCCACTTCTTCCAGCGTACTCCCACAGTTGCGCTTTCTTCATTTACCGAAAACTTTTCTAATTCACGTCCTAAAGTCGAGCTCATTTTAATTGTTTTCTCCCCACTCGTGCTAATTGTACCTCGGCGTGTTCCTCTTCCTCCGATATTACTTCCAGTTCACCTCGTCGCCAATGTAACCTTTCTATTTAATGTCGTAATCGAGGATTTAATAACTTCACGCTCGTGCTTCTGTATTGCTATTCGCCATCTTTATTCTCTCCCCGTCCAACCTCTACATCACACAGCGCCAACCTTAGAATACTACAAGTGCCAACCTTAGAATACTACATACTCGAAAGAAGAATTTATACTCCTTCAAAGAACATAATAAAATTTTAGAAGACAAAGAAAAGTCAAAATAATAAATAAAGTAATATAAGGACCCTCGAGATTAAAATAGGTGAAGTCAAG